TGAAGAAAAGAGGTTGAATTGACTCACATTTCCACAGGCTTAACATGCATGACTGGGCGGCCTCAGGAGACTTACAATCATGGTGGAAGGCAAAGGGAAAGCAAACACCTTCTTCACATGGTGGCTGGAGAGAGAGAAAAGGGTTAAGTGCTACACACTTTTGAACCAACTCTCCTGAGAACTCACTCATTATCACAACAACAGCAAGGGTAAATCCACCCCCATGATCCAATCACCTCCCATTGGGTCCCTCCCCCAACGTGGGATTACAATACAGTGTGAGATTTCGGTGGGGACAGAGCCAAACCATATCAGAGATCTTAATTTGGTATTAAAAAAATCCATATAAAACTCTTAATAGCAATGTCTTGCTGACCTACTTTTCTCAGTCTCACCTACCAGAAAGGCCTCCTGAGAATGGCTGCAGAGGATGAGTGTGTTCTTTTTTTTTTTTTTTGAGATGGAGTCTTGCTCTGTCACCCAGACTAGAGTGCAGTGGCGTGATCTTGACTCACTGCAAACTCCGCCTCCCGGGTTTGAGGGATTCTCCCCTCCCAAGTAGTTGGTACTACAGGTACCTGCCACTGTGCCTAATTTTTTTTTTTTTTTTTTTTTGTATTTGTAGTAGAGACGGGATTTCACCATCTTGGCCAGGCTGGTTTCAAACTCCTGACCTCGTGATCCACCGGCTTTGGCCTCCCAAAGTGCTGGGATTACAGGAATTAGCCACTGTGCCCAGCCAGGATGGGTGTATTCTTATTCCTTCCTTGTTCTTGCAAAGCAGCGCTCTCCCTCTCTGCTCTACACACCTAAGCTTGAAACTCTTTAAAGGCAGGGAAAGAATCTTATGTTAATATTTCCCAATTTAGCTTGGCACAGTCCCCTACAATAAAGTGCCTGCTTATTTTTCAATTGGGAGTGTCTTTTACATATGGAGATAAAAATATAGTATTCTGACTCCATGTAATTGCTCATGTAGGGATACTTCTGAGACCAAGGAGTCTAACTAAACAAGAATGTAACTAAACTTTTCTTCCTACATTCACTAGCTCTACTATCGGTAACACTTTTTCAGACTGAACCATTTTATTAGAACAAGGCATACTGAAAAACTGCTTATAACCCTCTTTGCTTAAGAAGTTAGGTCAAATATTAAGGTTTCAGCCTGCACTTTCCTCTTCTATTTCTAGTCAACACTGTCATCAATCCACAATCCACACACAATTAAACAGATAGAAACAATTCACAGGAGTCATCTTCCAATTGCAACAATTTTCATTGGAAATAGAACTGAAATGCTAAACACTTGGCAGACTTTACTGAAAATTTCAGGTTGGGCAGTTGAGATAAAATCATGACTAAACACTTGCCAAATCCACCCTCACTTACCTACTCTCAGCATTACCTCCTCCAAATAATTCCTCAAATAAAAAACCAGATGAGTCAAATCCCAAAACCACTTTGCTGGAGTAACCAAGTTTGTGGGTATGAGCCATAGACCAGAGACACTTGTTTTCTGCTCTTCTATTTTCCTAATGAGTAGCGGATGTGCTCTTGCCAACCAGCTATGCAGAGTTGATAGTGAGTACAAGACATTCCAGAAAAGGGCTTACAGCAGCAAGTATTTGGAATAATAGTTCTATCAGTACAAACCACTGCAACTTGTAACCAACCACAACTACACCTTCATCTGTCCTAAATATATGTTTTGCAGTTTCTTGCATAAGTTACAAAAACTAAAATCTTATGTTTGGCAAACTGTATAGAGACCATCAGTACTCTGCAGTTACTGCTACCATCTTCCTTCTTTCACTGATAAACCATTCTCTTCCTTTTTAAAAAACAAGTCCAAGTTTGATATATTAGAGACCCTAGCCTATTGCCCTACTTGAGATGTTATTTGAGGGACAAAGTGGGGTGGTTATAGTGAAATATGTTTGAAAAAGGTAAAGCTAAGTTTTAAATAGGTGCCTATAAGCAGGACTGCTCAGACTCTTTATTATGATAATAATGTATATAAGTCTCCAAGGGGGTTGGGGAATAAAGTACACAGTATGTGCAAAGCTTATTTATCGTATCATTTTCATGGAACATCTTGAGTGATAAGGGTTTCATGGAACACACTGGGAAATTCTTGTTTAGGTTCATGTTGGTTTTTATAGGCTGGCATGGTCCTTGACTTGCTAACATGGATTCTATGAAAAAAATAGTTTTCTGGGCTTGACAGCCTGCTAACAAACTTGCAGAGCACAACCAAATGACACGCATTCATCTCCAGCCACTATTTGTGCTTTTGAGCAATTTTCCTAGAAGGCACACAAACGGCAAACAAAATTAGTTCCGATTTTTCAGATTAAAAAAAAAAAAAACCCAGAAACTCAAACACCTGAAAAATGATATTCCTAAAGCATAGTTATGTATCAATAATTCATATAAGCTTATTTGCAAGGTACAATTTCTAAAATGTTTTCTACATTTAAAAAAGCATGAATAAAGACCATGAAATTTTGTTAGATTTGGATTTGAATTCTGTCATTTAGCAAGTGTGAGGCACTAAAACTATTAATAAGTAAGTTGGCTAAGAGCATTTTCCTCACTTATAAAGTGTAGATACGAATGTTTGCTTTGTGAGGCAGTTTTGGGGATTAGATGTAAGGGACTGAGCACAGAGCTGGGCAACAGCAAGTAATAAGTCCTCAATAAATGGTAGCTCTTATCATTTCTACTATGACTAAACAAATTGCTCTGCCACAACGTAATCCAAGATCCACTCCTGGTATCCGGAACACTTGGTCAATGGATTATGGTCTTGAGATAGCTGAGTAGCAATAAAATAAAATCCACACATAGGCAATTGTCATATTACATTTTATTATAGTATGTGTAGTGTATACTAACTTAAAGGGAAAAATGTAAACAAAATGAAAGTCATGGGGAAAACGGGATCTTGTTTTAACCTTCAACTTAAAGTTACTCTTAACAATCCATTTATATCATTATGTCAAATTTTAGTCATCCCTGCAGAATTTTAGACAAATGAAAACGGACAAGTTAACACCAAAGAGTTAAGCACAGAAAGTGATATTGATTAAAAAGTTGAAAGTAAGCCGGGTGCAGTGGCTCAGAATCCCAGCACTTTGGAAGGCCAAGGTGGGTGGATCACAAGGTCAGGAGTTCAAGACCAGCCTGGCCAAGATGGTGAAACCCCATCTCTACTAAAAATACAAAAATTACCTGGGCATGGTGGCAGGAGCCTGTAATCCCAGCTATGTGGGAAGCTAAGGCAGGAGAATCACTTGAACCAGGGCGGCAGAGGTTGCAGTGAGCCCGAGATCAAACCACTGCACTCCAGCCTGCATGACAAAGTGAAACTTCATCTCAAAATAAACAAACCTCCTCCCCCCCAAAAAATAAAAACAAAAAAGTTGAAAGTAAAATCCACCTTGGCTAGAACTGAACATTCAGTTCCATCTCTCTAGAAGAATATCTAACTTGAATCATAATGGTTCATATTTTGACTAGTTCATACCATGTCAATTAGCAACTTACTACTTAAAAATTCCTTTTCTCAGCTGCATTTGACTACGTAAAATCCCACTGAGCATGCTGTTTGGCAAACGGCATGGCTTACTCCTCTGAAATTATCATCTACTTTCTAAAAACCACAAAGTGAGTTTGCTTGTGATTTAAATTTCAAAAAATAGTTTGTAGAAAACACAAAAAGAATCAACTGTTTAAAGTCTTATCCTTTTCTTCACTCTACAACAGCCACTTCTACCAAAAAAAAAAAAAAAAAAAAAAAAAAAAGAGTATGTGGATGCTTTCTAAGAACTCAAAATCAAGAAAGCCAAAATCAGAGGGTGTATGAATACATGTGCACATATATGTATAGACAATCTCTACATCCCCCAAAACAGATTTAAACAGGCAATCCCAACATTCTAAATTCAGAAAGCAGAGATAAACAGTTTTGTTTCTAAATCAGTGGTATACTAGCTGAAATGTTTAGAATACTGCACCTATAGTTCAGCAGTACTCTGATTATATCCCATTTTAAAAAATCAAAATATAAGCACATTCTTCTAACAGCAAAGAATTCTCCCACTTTTTATTTATTTTGACATATTGATATTTCCATAAACTCGCAAGTGGAAGATAAGCTGTTCGATAAAAGCCTTCTTATATATACAATATACAGAAATTATTTTAGAAGTCTGTTCATATAACAGATTATTTTGGTACTAACAAAAATTGTATACAATCCATGAATTGTATGGCTAGAAATGAAACCATCACTAAAACAAGAAACACAGGCTTTCCTGAACTTCGTTTCAGAAAAAAATTCCAAGTAATTCTTACTGTGTTAGAAGAATAAAGTACATTTGTCAGAGCATACATTATCATATTCCCTTAAAGCAGGGACTGAAGTTTTTTTAATTAAAAATGTCCAGGCTTACTTCTGTCTGTACATTCAGGAATAAACATATCACTGGTTACATATAATTCTCTCCTCATGCAAAAAAAAAAAAAAAAAAAAAACCCTCAAAAAACAAAAACACCCCTCAGTTAGTTGTTTTCTTAAGTCTAATTAAGCCAAACAAATAGCAATTTAATTAGCAAGCTGCAAATCAGAGAGGTTAGGAATTCATCAAACTGCATTTCCCACCTACAGTACTGCTGCTCCTCAATCTATTTTGTTCATGTATTAAATAATTAATAGGCATTGATGGTCAAAATAAGAATTTCAACATTGCAGCAAATGACAGAAGAGTAAGAGAAAGGGTTCCTAATGGCGTTGACAACCTTAATGATCCTTTAACAGGTAAAGGATTGTGTGTGTACGCGTGGAAGGGAGTAGGAAATAAAAACAGGAGGTTAAGACAGGTATAAAAAGGGAATGCTAAGACAGCTACTAGAATATTTATTTAAAAAAAACTGCTCTGAAGTCTGCCCACTGTACCAAAAACATTAAAAAAAACAAAAAACAGAGCAGACATTAGTGCAAGTTTAACCTGATAATTTATTTGTGGGGGAAAAAAGCTAGTTTCAATGAGAAAAAGTTCAGTCCTTTCCCTATAAATACAAAGAAACGCAACAGGAATTTTAAAGGTATTAGGTCAGAAAATGCAACAGTAACTCTTATAATCCTTTTCAACAGACAAATCAAGTTGAAGACAAGTGTTAAAATATTATTCAGCCTGAATATTTATCAGTCTATATATCCTGTTGTTCAACTGGCTTTTGATTAAAAAAAAAAAAAAAAAAAACCCAAACCAACAAATCATCAAACTTTCTAAGAGCTACCACCACATTAAGAATGATGAAAATAAATTAGTTCCCCCCCAAAAGATATTGTTTAACCTCTAAAGCATAAAAAGCTATATAATATCTTTTACAAATTAACCAGTGTTTTTACAAAAGTAATGCAGTTTTGGACTGACGATATTACACTGTATTTGTGGTAAAGTACTAGGCACAAGAATATATATATCAATTAGGCATTTTCAGTCTAATCAGTCTCTAGGGTTATCATTTAATTCTTGGCAATATATAATAACTGGTATGCATTTTGGTACTTAAGGTCATGAATTGTGGAGAACAAGAAGCAATGTATTATAGTCACAGGGTTTATATCTAACAAACAATTGCAGTGTTGAATGATCTCTTCTATGAACTTTGTGATTTGTTTTGCTGTTGGTCACCTGCAGTAGACCCTGCAAAGATAAAAGAAAAGTCAACATAATTTGTCATATATCGTCAACCCTGGCTGAAGTTCTCTTCTACTAGCATGGATGATAAGCAAATATAAAAATTTAAAACAAATAAGGTATATTTCATGTAGGCCGATTTAGACCGAAATGGAAGAATCTGTATACTCTCCTAAATATTCTAAAGAACAGAAGTGTCTACTTGCTGATAAAACAAACAGGTTTTAGACTGAGCATGTCTATAAGTCACAAGTGGAAAGGTAATTGTTTATGACAACTCAAATATCCAGAGCTATAAAAAGATTTACATTTATTACCTCAAAGCTATAAAATATTACCTCAGAGTCCATCATGTCATTTTTCTCCAATGAAATGTGTAAATGGGGGGGAAAAGGGGGAAGGGAAGAGGCTGAGATTGCCCAAAAACAAATGGGTTCTACAGAACTTGCAGATTTTAAAAGCTGTTAAAATGTTAAGGGCCCAAAAAGGGTAGGGGATAAATAAGGTGCTCATTTCCCTAAGTCTTATCCTATTCTTCTGGGTTTTATAATGCTAAGCAGGATATACTCCTTTGAAAGGTGTACTTCATCTCCAATGAAGAAAAATCAGGCACTGAGTGAATATAAAATTTTAATTTTCTATTAAACAAAGAAATATATTTATGTACTAAATGTGTGAAATGTAATACCTTATAAGCAGAGATGGTCAAAATGCTAGTTATTTTAAAAAAAAGAAAAAAACAACAACAACGAAAAACCTTTAAACTGGCATAGTGATAGCAGTACTGGTGCAAATTTCCAGCAGCAAATGAAATGCATTCCTAGTTCCAAAGAGCTGATACTGAAAATTTGAGTTAAAGTTGCTGAAAAGCTATAATCAAAGAATCATTTAGTTCAATACTAAAGAAACCATCAACATATAGCTGAAATGGGAAACATAGACCTCAGGGCAATTAGGAGCTAGGTAATCTACAAATGGTGAACCAGGCTGGGCATGGTGGCTCACAGCTGTAATATCAGAACTTTGGGAGACTGAGGCAGGAGAAATGCTTGAGGCCAGGAGTTCAAGACCAGCCTGGCCAACACAGTGACACTCTGCCTCTTTAACAAATAAAAAATAAAAATAAAAGTAGGTAACAGATTTTAAATAAAGAAGAGAAACATGTAACCACTACTACTTAAGATGAAGTTTGCTCAAGTTAAACATAAGTTCAAAAGACAGTAGAATATATAATGGAAATGAAAGGCTATACGAAATAGACTAAAAGGCTAAAACATATTATAGAATAACAAAGTATTGTAATCCTGACACTATGAGACAGTGATTCATCAAGCTGTATCATAGAATTATTCATGTTTCATCCTATGCTTACCAAAATCGTAATAATTATATACTTTCCTAACACTTAACCATTCTAGGCACCATAAATAAAATAGTTACACCTCCATTAAAAAGCATGAAGTTTGTAAGTGCAAGGAGTAGGTAGTGGGCACAAAAAAAATCTTCATTAGTGGTGCAGAAGATTCACCTTCAATAGATACCAGAGTAACAGTTCCTAAAAAATAAAACCTATCTCCTGTGACAGATCAGGAGTTGCTAGGCTGCAGGGACTGGGTGTCCAAGACTTTAAAACAAAACAAAATAAAAACAGCCAAACAACTTGTTATTCCAACAGTCAAAAGAAACAGCATTGGAAAGATATGACATATTTTGTAACTAAAGGGATGTAAAAACAAATCTTCCATACTAAAAATGTGTTTCCTTTAAAACTTTTTAAACTTTAGATCGTTATGACAAATACAACAGGACCTGAAACATTCAAAACAAAATATAGCTTAATATGAAGACAAACATCCTTACCTAAAGGCAAGTAAACCATAAAAAAAAGCCATATAACAAAACGTAAGGTCTAAAATCAAATCAACTCTGGGTGTAACAACTTTATTATTCTGAAATTGGCCATGGGGGTTAACATTTTAGAAACATTTGATATTACAAAGTGAACCTCAGCAAAATTTTCTGCTTTTTTTTTTTTTTTAACAAGTTTAAAGCAAAATAAAGTATATGATCCTAGGCACAGCATTACAAAAGTCTCAGTGACATTTTGAAAACATCTAACCTTGATTTGATTCTTCCGTATTCATGCTTTCTCCATCTGCAGTCTCTAACATTTCTTCATCTTCATCATCATCATGTAGGTCTTTTGAAATTAATTGTCTAGCTAGTTTGATATTAAGTCCTTCATTGTAGTGAAGCTTCCTTTTCATTTCAAATTGTCGCTTTTTTTCTATAAGATGCAAAACATAAGCTTAGGAAGTTTTATGTCAAGGATTGGCCCATGCCCATTTTATAAATAAAATTTTATTAAAACAGTCATGCTCATTTGTTTTTGTCATGCTTAAGGCTGCTTCTGTGTTCAATGGCAGAGTTGAGTAGTTTGTAATAGAGACCACTGGGCCTGTAGAATTTAAAATATTTACTATTTGGCATTCATCTCAAGGTCATCTCGATGGAAGAACAGAAATACATGCAGCCATTAGAAATTATATTTGTGAAAAAAGTTTAAAGATATGGGAAAATTATCCAGAAATAGTTGAATGGTGAAAAAAAAGTGAGTTACAACATAATAAATATACTATATTTATTATGTACAATGCCTGTCACATACACACACACACACACAGAAAAATAAGACTCAGCAATTAACAGTGGTTAATTCTGAGTCAAGAACGATGAAGTAGTTTTATTATTTTCTATTTTTATAATTAAGAAAAAATTCCTTTAAAACAATTCTTATCTGTTAAGAAACTGCCAGGATTTAAGACACTGCTGGCTAAAAACAAAACCTAATTTTCACAGTAATTTTAAGAAAAACTATTATAAAGGAATGGTGAAGTGACTCCAAATTATTCTTTCATTTTAGTCTTTACCATAGAAACATTAAGGCTGGCAGCAACTCAACAAAACTGATCACATTTGATTAGTAGTTGCTCCTTAAAGAGTAACTACTTATGAATAAATAATTTGAAGGTTTTTAACTTTCTTAGACCAGAAAATTAAAAAAAAAAAAATGGGGGGGGGAGGGGATCAATATAAAATTGCCAGCTATTTAATCAATGAACAGCATTGAAATCATTCACCATTGTTTTATATATATATCTTTTTTTTCTTTTTGAGATGGAGTTTTACTCTTGTTGCTCAGACTGGAGTACAATATCACAATCTTGGCTCACTGAAAACTTAGCCTCCTGGGTTCAAGCGATTCTCCTGCCTCAGCCTCCTGAGTAGCTGGGATTATAGGCGTGTGCCACCACTCCCAGCTAATTTTTGTATTTTTAGTAGAGATGGGGTTTCACCACGTTGGCCAGGCTGGTCTTGAACTCCTGACCTCAGCTGAACAGCCCACCGAGGCCTCCAAAAGAGCTGGGATTACAGGCGTAAGCAACTGTGCCTGGCTTCACCACTGTTTAATTAAAAATTTCATTAAAATATTTCAATGACAAAAAAGCACAGAGGTTGGATGCTGGGGCTCATGCCTCTAATCTCAGGAGTTCAAGAACAGCCCGGGCAACATGGCAAGACCCTATCTCTTCAAAAAATTTTAAAAATTAGCTGGGCATGGTGGTATGCGACTGCGGTCCTGGTTACTGGGGAGGCTGAGATGGAAGGATTGGCTGAGCTTAGAATACTGAGGCTGCAGTGAGCAAAGATTCTGCCACTGCACTCCAGCCCGGGTTGACACAGCGAGATCCTATCTCAAAAATGTATTTATTTATTGTTTTAAAAAGCAGAGATATCACTCCATAAGGCTATTTAAAGGACTTTCTTCTTTTATTTTAATTTTAATTTTTAGAGATGAGATCTCACCGTTTCCCGGGCTCACTTCCAACTTCTGGGCTTAAGCAATCCTCCTGGCCGGGTGCAGTGGCTCAAGCCTGTAATCCCAGCACTTTGGGAGGCCGAGGCGGGTGGATCGCGAGGTCAAGAGATAGAGACCATCCTGGTCAACATGGTGAAACCCCGTCGCTACTAAAAATACAAAAAATTAGCTGGGCATGGTGGCACGTGCCTGTAATCCCAGCTACTCAGGAGGCTGAGGCAGGAGAATTGCCTGAACCCAGGAGGCGGAGGTTGTGGTGAGCCGAGATCGCGCCACTGCACTCCAGCCTGGGTAACAAGAGTGAAACTCCTCCTCAAAAAAAAAAAGCAATCCCCCTGCCTTAGCCTCCCAAGTAGCTGGAACTACAGGTGTGTGCCACCACACCTGGCCTCCAAAGTACTTTCTTTTTTGTTTTTTAGTAGAGATGGGGTTTCACCATGTTGGTCAGGCTGGTCTTGACCTCCTGACCTCAAGTCAGGAGTTGGCCTGCCTTGGTCTCCCAAAGTGCTAGGGTTACAGATGTGAGCCACTGCACCTGGCCAGTACTTTCTTAATGTCCTCTAATTCCATAAAAGTTTTAAACAACATTTATACTTATATATATATATATTTTTTTGAGACGGAGTTTCACTCTTGTTACCCAGGCTAGAGTGCAACAGTGCAATCTTGGCTCACCGCAACCTCCGTCTCCTGGGTTCAGGCAATTCTACTGCCTCAGCCTCCTGAGTAGCTGGGATTACAGGCACGTGCCACCATGCCCAGCTAATTTTTTGTATTTTTAGTAGAGACAGGGTTTCACCATGTTGACCAGGATGGTCTCGATGTCTTGACCTCGTGATCCACCCGCCTTGGCCTCCCAAAGTGCTGGGATTACAGGCTTGAGCCACCGCGCCCGGCTGTACTTATATTTTTAAAACTTACATTTAAAAAAAAAAGTTTGTGTCATGACTCATTGATTATTTTACATCCTCTACTTAGGTTGAGAGAGAGAGAGTTGTGAAACTAACATCCATTTCGTTAATCTATAAACACTTCTTTCAAATTACCAGGGTCTTGCCAGGCATCTCTCTTTCCTACTTATAAATAACTTCTGTGATTTGTTTTGCTCTTGAGGGATGACATGTTACAGAGAGAAGTAAAACTGGGGGGGTGGGCAGGGAGGGGGAGAGAGACCAAAAAAAAGACCAAATTCTACTAACTAAAAAAAATATCTTAGCCGGGTGTGGTGGCTCACGCCTGTAATCCCAGCACTTTGGGAGGCCGAGGCGGGCGGATCACAAGGTCAGGAGTTCCAGATCAGCTTGGCCAATACGGTGAAACCCCGTCTCTAAAGAAAAAAAAAAAAAATATATATATATATATATATATCTTTAGGCTAGTCAAGTAAAGTAGGGGGAGTGGAAAAGGAACAAAGAAATCTGTAACTAGCTGTGATCAATTAGTTGTAAACACTGTCATACTTGAACCAGCCATCATGATCATGACTCATTTTCAGTGATACAGTTCAAGTATTCAGATAATGTAAAAGCAATATTAAAAAATAAAAATGAGCCGGGCGCGGTGGCTCAAGCCTGTAATCCCAGCACTTTGGGAGGCCGAGGCGGGTGGATCACGAGGTCGAGAGATCGAGACCATCCTGGTCAACATGGTGAAACCCCGTCTCTACTAAAAATACAAAAAAAAAAAAAAAAAAAAAACTAGCTGGGCGTGGTGGCGCGTGCCTGTAATCCCAGCTACTCAGGAGGCTGAGGCAGGAGAATTGCCTGAACCCAGGAGGCGGAGGTTGCGGTGAGCCGAGATCGCGCCATTGCACTCCAGCCTGGGTAACAAGAGCGAAACTCCGTCTCAAAAAATAAAAAATAAAAAATAAAAAATAAAAAAAAAATAAAAATGAGGCTGGGTGCAGTTGCTCACCCCTGTAATCCCAGCACTTTGGGAGGCCAAGGCGGGTGGATCACCTGAGGTCAAGAGTTCGAGACCAGCCTGGCCGACATGGTGAAACCCTGTCTTTACTAAAAATATAAAACATTAGCTGGGCATGGTGGCAGGTGCCTGTAATCCCAACTACTTTGGAGGCTGAGGCAGCAGAATCGCTTGAACCTGGGAGGCGGAGGTTGCAATGAGCTGTTTCTCGGGAAACGAGAGCAAAACTGTCTCAAAAAAATACAAAAAACAAAAAACAGATTCTAATTGCCTTGACTACCACAGGTAAATTTACAAAGAAGGTAACACTTTTCCTCATTACAAAATAATACATATTCATAGCAGAAACTTAAAAAAAAAAAGCACTCAATTTCCTCATTTGGAAATCACAATTCCAATATTTTAACGTAAAATGGGTGTGTAATACCTGTTGAATTAAATACATTTTATTTTTTTTTTTTAAAGATGGGGTTTCACCATATTGGTCAGGCTGGTCTCAAACTCCTGACCTCAGGTGATCCGCCCACCTCAGCCTCCCAAAGTGCTGGGATGACAGGCGTGAGCCACCGCGCCCGGCGAATTAAACAAATTTTAGATTTTGAAAACCAGATTAACTCTAGACTTTTTCTAAAAAATGTATTTCCTAAAAATGAATCACACATTGAAGTACAGGCTGTTTTTTTCACTTAAGATGTTGTTAGGATGATTATATATCCCATTTTACCCAGGGCAACAGTCTCAGTTTATGTCTATTGTTTGACAGAACTACAATTATAATTACACAGTTTAAAAAGTAAAGTCTATGAACATCCAGGAAACATTCTGCTATGTACACAACTATTTATATCATTTTTTTTTTTTTTTTAAAGACGGGGTTTCACCATGTTGGTCAGGTTGGTCTTGAACTCCCGATCTCAGGTGATCCGCCCGCCTTGGCCTCCAAAGTGCTTGAATTACAGGCATGATCCACCACGCCCAGCCTATTTATATCATTTTTAAATGGTTACAAGGAATTGAGTTATAACTGAATTTCCTGTTCCTGGTTAAAAATTTCTGATTTTCCTCCTTTATGTTTTCAATATTTCTTTGTGGTTTGTTTTTATTTTCTGAAGGCACACCAGCAACTTTCAACGTTTTTAAGACATGTAAGATATTGCACATTTGTTCTATTATTTTCTCAGTATCAGACGGTGTTTTTCAAACTATGCATCATGATACTTTCTTTTTTTTTTTTTTGAGACAAAGTCTCCCTCTGTCACCCAGGCTGGAGTACAGTGGTGTGATGCCAGCTCACTGCAACCTTCACCTCCCAGGTTCAAACAATTCTTGTGCCCCAACCTCCTGACTAGCTGGGATTACAGGCGTGCACCACCACACCTGGTTGATTTTTGTATTTTTAGTAGAGACAGGGTTTTGCCATCTCTACTAAGTGGTTCAAACTACTGGCCCCAAGAGATCCCAAGCGATCCTCCCACATCAGCATCCGAAAGTGCTGGGATTACAGGTGTCAGCCACCACACCCAACCATCCAACCAACAGGATTCTTTATTAAGTTACAACTAACATTCAAAAAGGTTAAGGTAAGGCCGGGTGCGGTGGCTCAAGCCTGTAATCCCAGCACTTTGGGAGGCCAAGGTGGGTGGATCATGAGGTCAAGAGATAGAGACCATCCTGGTCAACATGGTGAAACCCCATCTCTACTAAAAATACAAAAAATTAGCTGGGCATGGTGGTGCGTGCCTGTAATCCCAGCTACTCAGGAGGCTGAGGCAGGAGAATTGCTTGAACCCAGGAGGTGTAGGTTGCGGTGAGCCGAGATCGCGCCATTGCACTCCAGCCTGGGTAACAAGAGCAAAACTCCATCTTAAAAAAAAAAAGGTTAAGGTAGACTATTTACGTGAACACAAGTGAATTACTTTTTATACCTACTTTTACTTTTTATGGGGGAATATCTTAAGTTGTTAAAAGTTAATATTTAGTGAGTGCTCACAATATACCAAGATCAGTGCTAAGTGCTTTAAATGCTTTAACTCATTTAATAGTCACCAAAATATTTTTACGGCTCCCAATTTAGAAATCAGAAAACTGAGTCTCAGAGAAATTAAGCAAATTAGCCAAGTGGCATACCTGGAGCACAAACTTAGGTTTGCCTGTCTCCATAGACAATAATCTTAATTGCTATGCTGTGAGTTACAATTTTTCTCCCTAAGCTGTCCAATGTCAATAGACAACAAATTTCCAGCCATGTAATATCTATATAATTCAATAACAACCCCACCAATGGAAATTAATGAAATTATAATTAGTCAAATGGCTCCCCCTGCTGGTTGACTCATGGAATTACAACTTGAGAAACATCCCTCAGTTAAAACTGACAGTATATATTAATGAAAAATTCCTTATTCTCAATAGATCATGTTTTTTGAGTAACAAGGAAACAAACTGCAGAAACTATTTCTATTTGAAATACTTTTCAAGGATCTTTTGGAATATATTTTGGAAAAATCAACTGGAAGTCTCTGAAAGTAGAAGAAATACAATACAACTTGAGAATATGCTGCAAGTAAAATTTCTCTCGTATAAGTGTTAGGCTCAGATCATCAATGTTCTGTTAACTGGCTATATTTTGAAAATAATAGGAAAGACTAGCAAATGATACCTTAGCAGCTACACATGACAAAGATCCTGGAGCCTTCATTCTAAAGTTTCTCAACTTCTTCACTGTATAGGTATAGTATAGGTAGTCCCCACACTGCAAAACTTCAAGTAGGTTTCTACTGTATTTTCCTTCTTCCTTTTTTATATGTGCTTTTCTTATATCTTTCCTTTAAAAATAGTTGCAAATAAGCTATACACAATTTTTAAATTCTTAAAAAGATTATACATGCTGGGAGTGCTGGCTCACGCCTGTAATCCTAACACTTGGGAAGCTGGAGGCGGGTGGAGCACGAGGTCAGGAGTTCGAGACCAGCCTGGTCAAGATGGTGAAACCCCACCTCCACTAAAACTACAAAAAAAATAGCTGGGCACGGTAGCGGGCACCTGTAATCCCAGCTACTTGGGAGGCTAAGGCAGGAGAATCACTTGAACCCAGGAGGCAGAGGCTGCAGTGACCCAAGATGGGGCCACTGCATTCTGGCCTGGACAACACAGCAAGATTCCATCTCAAAAACAAAAACAAAAAGTTACATTCTACATTCACATGAATCAAAAAGTATTAAAAGGCAACAAGATAAGATACATTCCTTCTCTTCCAGCCTCCATAAATAAGTACCTTTACTTGTGAAAACAGAAAACAAGAGTAGGCAGCAATGCCTTAAATGTGTATGTGCTGAATGGCCTAAAAGACCCTCTTCCATCACTGTTAAGGGGAGGGCTGTCTCCATCTTCTTTCCTAGGACACTACTGCTCCTTTTCATTGATAAGACCTAATAAAGACCTTCACTCTGCATCTGATCATCTTGGTTCATTTGGTATGTTGCACCACCATCTAACAACAGAAAAAGTATAAGCAATTGGGAAATTAGCTCTTTCAGCTACGTACTTTAAGACCATCCAAACACTCAATGACTTAAAAAGCACTGATTTAAAAAGTATTTACTATCTACTCTGCACTAAAAAGGACAAAGAAAATAATACTTATAATTACTTTAAAGATGGTAATACTTCCCCACATTCTCGAAATCGGGTAAGAAACTACTATACAACAAAACACACAAGCAGTATCTGAATTATAAAGATTGCTTTCATTTTCCTCCCCTCTGTGACCCCAAAATGAAAACCATTTGCCAATCTTCCAAATAACAGATTTATCTTAGCAAAAACTATTAGCATCCCACTGAAAGCAGTAAAGGAAATCAACGGACCTTGTTCTTCAGGTGAGAGGTCACTATCCTCGTCTCCACTGCTTTCTTGTTCCTGAATCCGATACTTAGGCTCCAAGCCTTCAGCAGCAGCTAATCTATGCAACAATCATGTACAAATAAATTAAGTGATGTTCTGATATTATTGAACATTTAAAGATCATTTATGTGCTAGCTATAACCTGATGAGGAAAATCAAAAGCAAGAGAGCAGCAATGGGCTGGGCATGGTAGTGCACACCTGTAGTCCTAGATACTCAGAAGGCCGAGGTGGGAGGACTGGTTAAGCCCAGTAGTTTGAGGTTGTAATTGTGCCTCCACACTCCAATCTGAGTGACAGAACAAGACCATCTCAACAACAAAAAAAGTAGAAATGGGCATAGAAACCAGTAAGCAACAAGAACAGTGGAATAGGTCAGGCGCAGTGGCTCAAGCCTGTAATCCCAGCACTTTGGGAGGCCGAGGCGGGTGGATCACGAGGTCAAGAGATCGAGACCATCCTGGTCAACATAGTGAAACCCCGTCTCTACTAAAAATACAAAAAATTAGCTGGGCATGGTGGCGCGTGCCTGTAATCCCAGCTACGCAGGAGGCTGAGGCAGGAGAATTGCCTGAACCCAAGAGGCGGAGGTTGCGGTGAGCCGAGATCGCGCCATTGTACTCCAGCCTGGGTAACAAGAGCGAAACTCCGTCTCAAAAAAAAAAAAAAAAAAAAAAAAAAAAAAGAACAGTGGAATGGGTGCTAGAAGTCAGTAAGTAGCAAAGGAAGAGAGCTTTTATGAATTAACTTATTTTTGCCTTTCTCACTGCTACCTTTAAAAACAGAAGGCAGGGGCCAGCCTCAGTGGTCCACACCTGTAATCTCAGAACTTTGGGAAACTGAGGCCAGCGGACCTCTTGAGGTCAGGAGTTCGAGACCAGCGTGGCCAATATGGCAAAACGTCATCTCTACTAAAAAGACAAAAATTAGCCAGGCATGGTGGCATGCACCTGTAATCCCAGCTACTACTGGGGAGGCTGAGGCATGAGAATTGCTTCAGCCTGGGAAGTGAAGGTTGCAGTGAGTCAAGATCATACCACTGAACTCCAGCCTGAATGACAGCATGAGACTCTGTCTCAAAAAACAAAGAAAAATACCCACAGGGAATCCTGTGTTCATGTACTCTGGTGTTCTTGCCACCTACATACCTTTATTTTAATTAAGAGACAAGAGTATAAAAAAGTTGGAGACTCAGAGGGTGAAAAAAGGGGAAAAAAAGGAAAAGAAGTTGGCATAAAACATTTTGATAAACAGCCTTTTATTTACACTTACATAGGGAAAGCGATGTAAAATGCTTCTAACTCTGCACAATTAAAAAACGCATAAGTGAAATGTGTTACAGTCATTAGCACTTACTTCTTGGCTAAGACATCTGGTGCCATGGCTTCAGTGGTCTCTGTATCACTACATGCATCTTCATCATCACCCATCATACTAGTATGACAAGCACATTGTAATTAATACCTGAAACATAAATTTTCAGCCACAAAAACAAGGTAGAAAAACAATTCTATCAACCTACTTAACATATCAGTATATTTACAGCTCTGTTATTAAATCTTTGAGGTTTAAACTTAAATCATTCCTATTCAATACAAATACTTAAAAGTACAGCACCCACGTGGGGTGCAGTGGCTCAAGCCTATAATCCCAGCACTTTGGGAGGCCGAGGCAGGTGGATCACAAGGTCAAGAGATCGAGACCATCCTGGTCAACATGGTGAAACCCCGTCTCTACTAAAAATACAAAAAATTAGCTGGGCATGGTGGCGCGTGCCTGTAGTTCCAGCTACTCAGGAGGCTGAGGCAGAATTGCCTGAACCCAGGAGGCAGAGGTTACAGTGAGCTGAGATCGCGCCATTGCACTCCAACCTGGGTAACAAGAGTGAAACTCCATCTCAAAAAAAAAAAAAAAAAAAAAAAAAAAGACAGCACCCAATCAAGAAAAGACTCCAAATGATTAAGAGAAAAACATACAGTCTGCCTGCCATATCCATGGGATCCACATTCATGAATTCAACCAATTGTGGATTGAAAATAGCCAGAGAGGGCTGGGCACAGTGGCTCACGCCTATAATCCTAGCACTTTGGGAGGCTGAGGCGGGTGGATCACGAGGTCAAGAGAACGAGACCATCCTGGTCAACATGGTAAAACCCTGTCTCTACTAAAAATACAAAAAATTAGCTGGGCATTGTGGCACACGCCTGTAGTCCCAGCTACTTAGGAGGCTGAGGCAGGAGAATTGCTTGAACCCAGGAGGCAGGGGTTACGGTGAGCCGAGATCTCACCATTGCACTCCAGCCTGGGTAACAAGAGCGAAACTCGTCTCAAAAAAAAAAAGAAAAAGAAAAAGAAAATAAAATAGCTGGAGAAAAGAAAAATTTCATCCATACTAAACATGTAGACTTTTTTTTTTTTTTTTTTTTTGAGACGGAGTTTCGCTCTTGTTACCCAGGCTGGAGTGCAATGGCACGATCTCGGCTCACAGCAAGCTCCGCCTCCTGGGTTCAGGCAATTCTCCTGTCTCAGCCTTCTGAGTAGCTGGGATTACAGGCATGCACCACCATGCCCAGCTAATTTTTTGTATTTTTAGTAGAGACGGGGTTTCACCTTGTTGACCAAAGTTGGTCTCGATCTCTTGACCTTGTGATCCACCCGCCTCAGCCTCCCAAAGTGCTAGGATTACAGGCTTGAGCCACCGCGCCCGGCCGGACTTTTTTCTTATCATTATTCCCTAAACAATACAGTGTGTAATACCTGTTTGCATAGTATTTACATTTTATTAGGTAATATAAGTAACGTAGAGATGATTTAAAGTATACAGAAGGATGTGCATAGATGATATACATCTATAATGCCATTTTATATCAGAGAGACTTGAGTATCTGAGGATTTTGGTATCTGAGGGAGGTCCTGAAACCTCCATGGATAATGAGGAACAACTGTATTGAAAATACAAATGACCTGGGGGGAAAATTTCAAAGTTCCAATTATTCCATCCAGTGGGAGGGAACAAGTAATGCAAAGTAAATTCTGTCTGGTTTTAGAACATGCATTTCTACATCAGTCTTAAGATACAGACAGATGATCTATGCAGATACGAGACTGGGTAAAATAACAAAATTAGATCCTAAGGACCTAATTCAGAAGTTTAAAAGCTATTTAGCTTTCTCACTCTACCCTCTAATGAACATTTGCTCCCCACTTCTGTGCAAAAATGGGCATCCTTAACTCTTAGCCACTGGAAAGTATGTAAAGCAGAACTCAGCTACTTATAAAATACTGCCAGTTTATACATTTCCTGGTTAATTAAGGTGATAAATTAAGTCCTACAGTTTAGATGATGTTCTTTTTTCTAAGGGAAGTTGAAATAAACTGATCTATGTTATTGAGTTTAATTAAGCAGAGAAGGGTAAAATAAACCTTTTGTTAATTTATGGAACTGTTCTACAGAAAATTCTAGTTATAAAATTTACTGATGAATTATGTTTATATATGTACATGTATCTAAAACAATAATTTCTTATATACTAACTGTGAGATTCTTAGGTAATAAGACGTGTTTCTATAAAAAGCATCTTCAGCTAAATAAAACTTTTTTTTTCTTTGAGATAGGGTCTTACTCTGTCACCCAGCAGTGCAGTGGCACCATCATGGCTAACTACAGTCTCAGTTTCCCAGACTCAAGTGATACTCCCACCTAAGCCTCTTGCGTAGCTGGGAATACAGGCATGTGTTACCATTGCTGGCTTAACTCTTTTTATTTTTCACAGAGAAGGGGACTCTTTATGTTTCCCAGGCTTGTCTCCAATTCCTGAGCTCAAGCAATCCTCCTGCCTCAGCCTCCTAACGTGCTGGGATTACAAGTATGAGTCACTGTGCCTGGCCAAATAAAACTCTCCAAAAGAAAAAGAAAAAAAAAAGTCATGGAAGGAAATGATAAAACCAAGCACCAAATTGATAAAAGCAGAGCACATGTATCTCTGCATACACATAGCCTCAGTTACTTAGGGACCAAATAACTTTTCTGGTTGTTCGAATGGCAAACATCTACCATTCAAATTATATTTATAAAAGTCAAAAAATACGCCGGGCGCGGTGGCTCAAGCCTGTAATCCCAGCACTTTGGGAGGCCGAGGCGGGTGGATCACGAGGTCAAGAGATCGAGACCATCCTGGTCAACATAGTGAAACCCCGTCTCTTCTAAAAATACAAAAAATTAGCTGGGCATGGTGGCACGTGCCTGTAATCCCAGCTACTCAGGAGGCTGAGGCAGGAGAATTGCCTGAACCCAGGAGGCGGAGGTTGCGGTGAGCCGAGATCGCGCTATTGCACTCCGGCCTGGGTAACAAGAGCAAAACTCCGTCTCAAAAAAAAAAAAGTCAAAAAATAATGACTATTGCTATTTTGAAAATCTTTTTTTCTGGCCAGGCACGGTGGCTCATGCCTGTAATCCCGGCACTTTGGGAGGCCCAGGCAGGCAAATCACAAGGTCAGGAGTTCGAGACCAGCCTGACCAACATGGTGAAATCCTGTCTCTACTAAAAATACAAAAATTAGCTGGATGTGGTGGTGGGCACCTGTAATCCCAGCTACTCGGAGGCTGAGGCAGGAGAACCCCTGGGGCAGAGGGTAAACCCCTAGGGTGGAGATTGTGCCACTGCACTCCAGCCTGGGCAACAGAGCAAGATTCCATTTCAAAAAAAAAGAAAAAGAGCCGGGCGCGGTGGCTCAAGCCTGTAATCCCAGCACTTTGGGAGGCCGAGGCGGGTGGATCACAAGGTCAAGAGATCGAGACCATCCTGGTCAACATGGTGAAACCCCGTCTCTACTAAAAGTGCAAAAAATTAGCTGGGCATGGTGGCACGTGCCTGTAATCCCAGCTACTCAGGAGGCTGAGGCAGGAGAATTGCCTGAGCCCAGGAGGCGGAGGTTGCGGTGAGCCAAGATCGCGCCATTGCACTCCAGCCTGGGTAACAAGGGCGAAACTCAGTCTCAAAAAAAAAAAAAAAAAAAAAAAGAGAGATCGAGACCATCCTCGTCAACATGGTGAAACCCCGTCTCTACTAAAAAATACAAAAAAAATTAGCTGGGCATGGTGGCACGTGCCTGTAATCCCAGCTACTGAGGAGGCTGAGGCAGGAGAATTGCCAGGAGGCGGAGGTTGCAGTGAGCCGAGATCGTGCCATTGCACTCCAGCCTGGGTAACAAGAGCGAAACTCCGTCTCAAAAAAAAAAAAAAAAAAAAAAAAAAAAGAAAAAGAGAAATCTTTTTTTTTTCTTTTTCTTTAGAGACAAGTCTCCCTCTGTCAACCAGGCTTGAGTGCAATGCTGTGATCATGGCTAACTGCAGCTTCAACTTCCTGGGCTCAAACAACCTCCTGCCTCAGGCTCCTAGGGAGCTGGGACTACAAGTACACACCACCACCTCTGGATAATTTTTTTTTTCTGAGACAGAGTTTTACTCTGGTTGCCCAGGCTGGAGTGCAATGGTGTGATCTCGGCTCACTGCAACCTCCACCTACCAGGTTCAAGCGATTCTCCTGCGTCAGCCTCTCGAGCAGCTGGGATTACAGGTTCCCACCACCATGCCTGAATATATTTTTGTATTTTCAGTAGAGATGGGGTTTCACCATGTTGGCCAGGCTGGTCTTGAACTCCTGACCTCAGTTGAACAGCCCACCTCAGCATCTCTAAGCGCTGGGATTACTGGCATGAGCCACTGTGCCTGGCCAGTTTTGTTTTTGTTTTAATTTTTTTTTGTAGAGATGGAGTCCCACTCTGCTGTCCAGACTGGTCTTGAACTCCCAGGCAAGAGTTCTTAGGGGATGGGCATGATGGCTCTTGCCTGTAATCCCAGCACATTGGAAGGCTGAGGTGGGTGGTTGACTTGGGGTCAGGAGTTCCAGACCAGCTTGGCTATCGCAGCAAAACCATCTCTACTAAAAATACAAAATTTAGCCAGGCGTGGTAGTGGGTGCCTATAATCCCAGCTACTCAGGAGGCTGAGGCACAAGAATCTCTTGAGCCTGGGAGGTGGAGATTGCAGTAAGCCAAGGTCATGCTACTCTGTACTACAGCCTGGGTGACACAGTGAGACTCTGTCTCAAAAAAAAAAAAAAAAAAAAAAGCTCTGGCCGGGCGCGGTGGCTCAAGCCTGTAATCCCAGCACTTTGGGAGGCCGAGGCGGGTGGATCACGAGGTCAAGAGATTGAGACCATCCTGGTCAACATGGTGAAACCCCGTCTCTACTAAAAATACAAAAAATTAGCTAGGCATGGTGGTGCGTGCCTGTAATCCCAGCTACTCAGGAGGCTGAGGCAGGAGAATTGCCTGAACCCAGGAGGCGGAGGTTGCGGTGAGCCGAGATCACGCCATTGCACTCCAGCCTGGGTAACAAGAGCGAAACTCCGTCTCAAAAAAAAAAAAAAAAAAAAAAAAAAAGATATGTCTTAAAGTATATACCTGCAATTTAGGAGAAAAATAAGAATATAAACCTGTTTTTAACATGTGTATTTATTTTAACTGATTGTAATTTTATTGTTTTTCTTCCCCTCGACTTATTTATTTTTATTTCAATAGTTTTTTGGGGGAACAAGTGATGTCTGATTACATGGATAAGCTCTTTAGTGCTAATTTCTGAGGTTTTGGTGCACCCATCACCAGAGCAGTGTACACTATACCCAATGTATAGTCTTTTAGCCCTCTCCACCCTCCTACCCCTAGCCCCAAACTCCACCATATCATTCTAATGCCTTTGTGTCCTCATAGCTTAGCTCCCGCTAATAAGTGAAAAAATATGATGTCTGGTTTTCCATTCCTGGGTTACTTCACTTAGAATAATGGTCTCCAACTCCAACCAGGTTGTTGTGAATGCCATTATTTTGTTCCTTTTTATATATATTATTCCATGGTATATACAAATATACCACAAAAAATGTGTATTTCTTCACTCAAATATCATTAGTATTGAGTTTTAGCATCTGTACCTATTTCATTATTTTTTTGTTACCCTCGTCATAATCTTTAATATTTTCATGTTTATTTTTACTCTTTATTTTTGTTAGTAACAAATTGTTTCAAATTATCTTCTAAATTTTTCACCCACTGATTTAAAATATAGTTCTTAACTCTTTATTCTTTCATTACAGAACAAATGGAAACTGCAGTTAACTCTATTTTAACAGTAACTTCTGAATTTATGTTATCTTATTTCAATAACAAAATATTTTAATCCTGGAAATGTTTTATTTTTTCAATGCAAATTAGGTAAGGAATAACTTATTTTATTTTATTTTTGGTAGAGAGAGAGTTTTGCTATGTTGCTTAGGCCGGTCTTGATTTCCTGGCCTGCAGCAATTCTCCCACTTCTGCCTCTGTAACCTCAAAGTGCTGAGATTACAGGCATGCGCCACCATGCCCAGCCAAGGTATGTTCTTTTATTTTTTCTTTTTGAGGCAGAGTTTTGTTCTTGTTGCCCAGGCTGGAGTAAAATGGTGCGATCTTGGCTCACTACAACTTCCGCCTCCTGGGTTCAAGACATTCTCCTACCTCAGTCTCCTGAGTAGCTGGGATTACAGGTGCTGCCACCATGCCCAGCTAATTTTTTTTTTTTCTTTTTTTTTAGTTTCGCCATGTTGGCCAGGCTGGTCTTGAACTCCTGACCTCAGGTGATCTGCCTGCCTTGGCCTCCCAAAGTGCTGGGATTAGAGGCGTGAGCCACAGCACCCAGCCCAAGGTATTATCTTAATTAGATATCTATACTTATTTAGAATCTTCATCTTCTCATAATGCTTACTACATTGTTTTTGTCTTCATACTGGTTACTGCTGCATAATGTAATTTCACAATTCATTTGGAAAATTCTGAGATTTGAAATAGCCAAAAATTACACATAATTATCTGAACAACAATATTACATTAAGTTAAAAAATAAAGACATAAACACCTATCTTTCAGTGGGTTACAAAAGAGTTACCATCCACGCAGTTATGCTTCTCTGCAAAGAGACTGGGTAAACCCCAGATTTCCATTTGGGAAGCAAACAAGCCCCTATCTCATCGGCATTTCAAGGAAGTTAAACTAGTCTATGTGCACCATTAGTAACTAGCAACCACTGAGGTGCAACAAATAAACATTTACTACTATAATTATATGAAATGGGTTACATAGTTACACATCACTTATACTATTACTAAAAAAACTGCAGTTAGGTTATTGAATTGACTAGTGCTCTAGTAACAAATCTAGAATAAAGCAATTTCAAATAGGCCGTTACACAGAAGCTCGTATTAAATGCGAAATGGAAGTAAGTCACAAGAGGAATGATGCCTATGCAACATTACCTATGGTAAGGAGTGCTTGGTTCATCTATTTTCATTAAACCATAGTCTTTGTCTGCTGGATGATACGTTGCCAAGATGTTCATTTCATCCCACTTCTGGGATTTTTTGCTAAAATTAAAAAGAAAAAACATTTTTCCCAATGTGGAAAAAAGAAAACTTGAACATCAAAATTCACAAATGTCCAAATTTCACATTTCAACTTCTATTTGATGGCTAACCTCTATTTTCACATGTAATTTCTTGGAATAGAAGCTGACTCAGGGTAAAAACCATTAAGAAACTACAATAAAATGTCAGTAAATGCACAACAATTAATGACCACATATTTGAAACACAGTATTTAGTATCTATATCAGGCATTCAAAACATTACTATACTTGGCCTATAGAATTAATACAAATCAATGCCGGGCACGGTGGCTCAAGCCTGTAATCCCAGCACTTTGGGAGGCCGAGGCGGGTGGATCACAAGGTCAAGAGATCGAGAACATCCTGGTAAACAAGGTGAAACCCCGTCTCTACTAAAAATACAAAAAAAAAAAAAAATTAGCTAGGCATGGTGATGCGTGCCTGTAAATCCCAGCTACTCAGGAGGCTGAGACAGGAGAATTGCCTGAACCCGGGAAGCAGAGGTTGCGGTGAGCTGAGATCACGCTGTTGCACTCTAGCCTGGGTAACAAAAGTGAAACTCCATCTCAAAAAACAAAACAAAACAAAACAAAACAAATCAAAATCCATACATTCCCTGATGTCAACAGGCATTTTTCATCTATATACCAGTAACTGGTAAAAAACACAACAGTAAAATTTCCTTGGAATAATTTGTTTTTGGGATATGTTAATTAAAACATAAAGATTCAAAGCATAGGCCGGGCGCGGTGACTCACGCCTGTAATCCCAACACTTTGGGAGGCCGAGGCAGGTGGATCACGAGGTCAAGAGATCGAGACCATCCTGGTCAACGTGGTGAAACCCCGTCTCTACTCAAAATACAAAAAATTAGCTGGGCATGGTGGCGCATGCCTGTAATCCCAGCCTCTCAGGAGGCTGAGGCAGGAGAATTGCCTGAACCCAGGAGGCGGAGGTTGCGGTGAGCCGAGATCGCGCCATTGCACTCCAGCCTGGGTAACAAGAGCAAAACTCCGTCTCAAAAAAAAAAAAGATTCAAAGCATAAAACTACAGAGAAAACTTCATCAAATTCAGATACCACTAAATCATTAGATTGCAAATAAATTACAACTGTTTATTTCTGATCTAGAAAAATAAAGGTTTGCTCAGAAATAGTGTACTCAGATTTACTTGCAAAGCAATAGAAGTTCTCTATAAGTATTTTATTTATTCATTATTATTTTGAGACAGAGTCTCACTCTATTATTATTTTTAGGATAGAGTCTCACTTTATTATTACTATTTTTCACTGTGTTGCCCAGGCTGGAGTGCAGTGGCATGGTCTCGGCTCACTGCAACCTCCACTTCCTGGGTTCAAGTAATTCTTCTGCCTCAGCTCCTGAGTAGCTGGGATTACAGGCGCATACTACCACATCTAGCTAATTTTTGTATTTTTAGTAGAGATGGGGTTTCTTCATGTTGGCCAAGCTGGTCTCGAACTCCTGACCTCGTCATCCGCCCACCTTGGCCTCCCAAAGTGCTGAGATTACAGATATGAGCCACCAGGCATGGCCATTATTTTTGTTTTCTGAGACAGAGTTTTGCTCTTGTCACCCAGGCTGGACTGCAACGGTGCAATCTTGGCTCACCCGCAACCTCCGACCCCTGGATTCAAGCAGTTCTCTTGCCTCAGACTCCCTGGTAGCTGGGATTACAGGCGCCTGACACCACGCCCTGCTCATTTTTGTAATTTTAGTAGAGACGGGGGTTTCACCATGTTGGTAAGGCTAGTCTCAAACTCCTGACCTTATGTGATCTGCCCATGTCGGTCTCCCAAAATGCTGGGACTACAGGCGTGAGCTACCGTGCCTGCCCTATAAGTACTTTGGAAACATCTGTTAAATTTCATTCCATGAAGTATTTGCACAACTATTAAGGGCTCAATAATTAAATAATTCTTATATACTCATTAAAAAAGATCTCAAAGACCCTTCCATAAGCCAACATTATTTTGTTACCTGTACAGTTTGTGATTTAGTATATACTTGGAAAAACCTGCTTTAAAAAGAATCAATGTAAATGTTACACTGATTTAAATCATCCTTTCTACATTTGGTCTAAACTGGTGGTTTCACTGTAGATATTTTCAATTTCTCAGATCCTGAAATATCCTTTAAGAATAACATACTTAACATTTCAGTATCATATTCCCTTCTCTATATTCTCTAAAAAAGTTTGATGAGTTACCTTAAAAATTACACAGGACAGGCTGGGCGCGGTGGCTCAGGCCTGTAATCCCAGCACTTTGGGAGGCTGAGGCAGGTGGATCACGAGGTCAAGAGATCGAGACCATCCTGGTCAACATGGTGAAACCCCATCTCTACTAAAAATACAAAAAATTAGCTGGGCATGGTGGCATGTGCCTGTAATCCCAGCTACTCAGGAGGCTGAGGCAGGAGAATTGCCTAAACCCAGGAGGCGGAGGTTGCAGTGAGCCGAGATCGCGCCATTGCACTCCAGCCTGGGTAACAAGAGCGAAACTCCGTCTCAAACAAACAAACAAACAAAAAACCACAGGCCTACTCCGGGCAGGTGACTTCATATTCTTTTGCTTTCTACCCTAACATACCCACAGTGTCCCCATTTCAGATTAAGCATTTTTAAATTTATTTTATTTTTAAAAATTGTGGTGGCCGGGTGCTGTGGCTCACGCCTGTAATCTCAGCACTTTGGGAGGCCGAGGCGGGTGGATCACGAGGTCCAGAGATCGAGACCATCCTGGCCAACATGGTGAAACCCCGTCTCTACTAAAAATACAAAACATTAGCTGGGCATGGTGGCGCGTGCTTGTAATCCCAGCTACTCAGGAGGCTGAGGCAGGAGAATTACCTGAACCCAGGAGGCGCAGGTTGCAGTGAGCCGAGATCACGCCATTGCACTCCAGCCTGGGTAACAAGAGAGAAACTCTGTCTCAAAAAAAAAAAAAAAAAAAAAAAAATTGTGGTTATACATAAAATTCACCTTAAAACCTTTTTGCTTTTATGTCAATCTTTTCTGTATCATTCCAATTTTAGTGTATATGCTGCTGAAGCACTAGTCATTATGAAGTGTACAATGCTATGGAGTTAAGAACATTCACATCATTGTGCAAGCATCACCACCATCCACCTCCAGAACTTTTTCCATCTTCCTCAACTGCAACTATACTCATTAAGTACTAACTCCCCACTGTCCCCAGCCCCCAGACCTGGCAACCACCATTCTACTTCCTGTCTCTCTAAATGTGACTACTCCAGATACCTCACATAAACAAAATCAAAGTATTTGTCCTTTTGTAACTGGCTTATTTCACTAAGCATAATGTCTTCAACGTTTATTCATGTTGTAGCATGTGTCAGAATTTCTCTCCCTCTTTTTTTTAATAGACTGGGTCTCAACTCTGTCACCCCAAGCTGGGGTAAAGTGGCATAATCATAGCTCAATGCAGCCTCGATCTCCTGGGCTTAAGTGATCTGGCTGCATCTGAGCTCACCTGAGCAGCTAGTGCTGTAGGCACAAGCCACGTGCTTGGCAGTAAACTGTCTTTTAAAGCTGTTTTGATTCTGGACAATGTCTCTCTCTGGTCACCCAGAACCCTATGAACCCTATGATTTCAACACACAAGGTGTCAAGGTGGTTTACTTGTCCCCAAACACAACATCTCTAATTTAACTTCTAGATCAGGAGGTCACAGAGGACCTTTAAGGCTCAGTACACACGGTAGTCTATTCAGTGGTATCCAAACTTTTCGGCACTAAGGAGCAGTTTCGTGGAAGACAATTTTTGCATGGCAGGGTGGTTTCAGGTTGAAACTGTTCCACCTCAGATCATCAGGCATTAGATTTTCATAAGGAGTGGGCAGCCTAGATCCCTTACATGCACAGTTCACAATAGGGTTTGCACTCCTATGAGAATCTAATGCCACCACTGATCTGACAGGAGGCGGAGCTCAGGCACCTGCCACATGGCCTGAGGTTTGGGGATCCCTGCTCTATGGAAAAGACTGCCAACTCTCACAAAGAACACCATGAAAGTCTGGAACGATTACACCACCGCATATGCCATTGTTGTTACAGAAAAAGCTATGAAAGCTGTCAAGCCTGAAACAATGAATTCCTGTTGGAGAAAACTGTATCCAGATATTATGCATGACTCCACAAGATTTAAGACAGGGCCGATTAAGGAAATCATGAGATTGTGAATTATTTGGTGGGGTAAAGGGTTTCTAGATATGGATCTTGAAATTCAAGAGCTAACTGACATTACACCAGAGGAATTGACAGATGACTTGATAGAGATGAGTGTTCTGAATCAGTACCAGATGATAAGGAATAATATGTAGAAGAAGCAAAACCAGGAAACAAATTGACATTAGACAGTCTGACAAAGAGTTCTGACTATTTGAGAATGCTTTACTTATTTTACACAGGGACCCTTTTACGATATAGACACTGAAACTAAACAGTAGAAGGAAGATTATTAGTACCACATAGCAACATTTTAAGAGAAATGAAAAGCACAAAAGTTATGCAGAAATTATGATACATTTTCGTAAAGCTACACCAAGTGAGGCTGCCTCTACTTCGATCTCCTCTAGCACCCCTGAGACAATGCAACCAATCCCTCTTCTTCCTCCTCAGCCTACTACTCATTGTGAAGACCACCAGGATAAAGATCTTTATGATGATACACTTCCACTTACTGAACAGTAAATGTATTTTCCTTATGATTTTCTTGACATTTTATTTTCTCTAGCTTACTGTATTCTAAGAATACAGTAGCACAGCACATAATACAAAACATTGTTCTTAATCAATTGTTTATGTTATCTGTAAGGTTTCCAGTCAACAGGAGGCTACTAGTAGTTAAGCTTTGAGGAGGCTGGGCACAGTGGCTCATACCTATAAATCCCAACACTTTGGGAGGCCAAGATGGGAGGACCACTTGAGCCCAGGAGTTTG